ATTATCTATCAGTGAAAATCAGATTTATGGACATTGGGCATCCAGTTTCCAATGGACCAATGGTTTTGTTATTATTGCATGTCCTACTGTTTTATTCTCTGATCTAATACCTACAATTGAAGCAAGACAGGTAATGCAAATAAAAGGTAAATAAAATTTGATTGATTGATTGATTGAATGCCATATGCTGTATGTGGGACATTCCAAGCACAGCAACAACACAGCCATAGATACAAGCATGTGGGTGCGTTCATTACACATCAATCTGGAAAAAACAGAGTGGTTTGTGTACCTGGCATCAATCCCAGCATTAATAAGCTATAAGTTAAACAATAAGTCCTTCAAATCTGGGGGAAGCATTCTCCCATCTAAACATTGTTCAGAGAAAGCCAAGCGTCCCTCTGTTTCTGCTGCACTTTTAATTCTGAACCAGCTGGCGAATTTGTCATAACTACTTCATGGGAGAAGATAATGTCAGAGTTGTTTTCACAGCTTGTTTGCCTGGACTTCATGACCCAAAATACCTTAACAAAACCAAGAGTAACTATCCACCTCCATCACTTCTGAAGGAAAGGCCATGACCCAGAAACCACGCAAGGTAATGAGGATTAAAAATAGGACTCAACACGTGTCCGCGAAATGTAAAGGGTAACTGTGCGATAGGGTCCATATAGTTAAAGGCAGCCAGATTCATTTATAATAAAAGCACTACATATTGGTATATCAGTTTCAGCTCTGCAAGTTCCTCGTTGCACAAGAAGTTATTTGTTGCAGGATTAAAGATACCTGTGGCTCAATACTAATAATACATACAGTTTTTCTTTATTTTGACGACTATTTGACGCTTTGGGCTGGGAGCTGATTGGCTGAGTGAGGGCTTTCTTCTCTATTTCCCTTTTCTGTCTCAATAAGCAGATTTATAGATGTGACGGTGAGCCAAATTACGTGTGAAAATTGTTTTTAGAGAGAGGAACTATTTAGCTCATGGAGTCCAAACTTTTTTGTCACCAGACTTTTCCAGGGACAGACAACAGGCATTGTAAAAATGTTTTGACTGGTTTTGAGCTGTTCTGGGCTTTAAAACGGGCTATGATTTGTCCATATTGATACAATGTTGTTAAACGATGAAAAATATAAGTCATACAATACACTTAAAGTTGACATCTGGATTCTAAAGGTTCTGGCAACAATGTGTAGCATGAGTTTAGTGGTGGACTTGGCTTTACTTGAAGTTGGCTGAATGACACATAAAATGACACAGGTGGACATTTAGTTTGGGCTTGGCTTTTTGGATGGATTCAATGACAAAGTTAAAATGTTTGTGTCTTCAAGGTTAGGTACCTCTGCTTTAAGATCAAGCCCTTGGTCTCTGAAAACTGTCTATGATATTAGGTGTACAACTTCCCAGTCAATATTCTGACCCGATTATATCCTGCATATACTTCCAAGAGCCTCCCATTAAATTTGGAGTCGGACGTGCCTTCAATCCCTGTGCTATTTTCAACACCACATTTTTTTTTCTCTTTTTTGAAATCTTTCCTTTTTATTTTGCCACCTCAATTGTATCCCTCCGGGGACGCTGCCTGTTGGAGCTGCGGAGAGGGCTGTTCTGCCTTTTGCTTTGGTAAGGAGCATAAAAATAACTTCTGCCAGCCTTTCATTCACTACAGCTGGGAGGACAGGATTTAACAAAGAGCTACAAGACTCCGAGTCCTGGGGAAGAGTGTGGAGCGCCGAGTAAACACGATGCAGTCTGACCTTATAGAAAAAGATAAAGTCATCGTACAATTATAAAAGTGTAATGTAACAGGAGCTCTATACGCTTGATAAACAGTCTTAAAAGTGGATAGTACAAAGGAAGCGGTATAGGCAGATAAAGGGGGCAGGTTACAATGCTGTTTTTTTATTCACAGACATTTAAATCTATATAGAAGTCAAAAGGAGTTTCTTTCTTTCTTATCAGATGTTTCATTCAGAGAGCAGAAGGCTAATGTTTGAAGGCTGTTAGACACTAACTGTCCAACAGACCCTCCTACATCGGCAAGGAAAAACAAAAACACTGTGAGAAAAAAGTGAGAAACCTCTGGGAGATCTACATTGAGGGAGGGATCTGCTCCCACGGCCCGACAGGCTATGGATCCAGGACCTACAGAAGGAGGACCAGGGCCACGTTGCGGCCGAAGAACGTGGACAGGTCTGGTGAATAACTTAAGCAACTCCCAAGCCGGTCGGGCAGGGAAGTCCGCAGGTGTGGATGCAGGAGGCCAGGTTCAGAGGTCCTATCGTCGCGCCATGAAACAGAAAATGGGACAATGGGTGAATAGCAAATGTTTCAATACCTTACAGATACAATGCTTACTAAAATAAAAATGGACTCGTGTGGTCTGATAGATTGATTGTAGTTTTGAGTACTTTTGGTATAAACGTTATAGTAATACTTTTTGATGACCTTTAACATTGGTCCAACCACATGGTCAGTACTGAATGACTATGATGTGACTTTTAGGGAAAACGATTCTATAAAGAAAAAAAAAAGATTCTATATCCAAGATATCCAAGACAAAAGCACAAAAACAACAATAAATAACTGAAGGAATGTTCCGTCACGGTGTACAGCACAATATAAGTGCATTGTTTTCCCTTATTATACTACAGAGATCTCCACGCTGGATGCTTGAAGGCGCAACAGCTGTTCTGAGCCGCGGGGCCTCGGAGTGGCCACTGGAGCTTCCGTTACGTCATCTAAAATCTTTTTAGTCAAAAAAAACTCCATTTCCCATCAGGCCGAGCTTCCATTCTCCTCTGGGCGTCCGTTGGGCCTTGCTTGTCCTTCTCCACACTCCCCATTTCTCACGCAAGCAGTTATGAGGGCATCTCTTTGACATGGACACACACACATCGATCAGCAGAGTTACCTAGGGGCCCCCAGGACAGTAAGGTCTGCCAAGAGGGGCCCCAAATCGGAGATAATCTGTGTCATTCATATTGCGGCGTCTGACATAAATGATCTGATAATGCACGTGTAGACGGAATTAACATCTGTTGTTTGAATGGGGCCTAATGTTCAGCCATTCATCAATTTCACTGGATTATGCTGTTGACCAGAGGTTTATCTTTGTGTGTGTGTATACATTTGTGTGTGTGTATATGTGTGTGTGTGTATAGTTTTGGTATTTGTTCAAGGCATACGCGCAGAGTTTGAGAAAATCCTCTTGATTGTATGGGGAAATGTCTGTTGAATTCTATTTGCTTGTGTATAGTAGAAATTGGTTTGCTATCTTGACTTGAAAATGAGCAGTTTAGAAAGAGATCGTATATGTTCACCCAGTCCAGTCCTAACCCAAAATCTGGAGGCAAGACTGCTTGATCTGTGGATCAAATCTAGATACGCACACTGATTATTAGTGATCACTTTCAGATCAGTTATATTCTACAGAGATCTGCCTAGATATCAAAAAGTATTTGTTCACAAGCCAAAGAAGCCAAACTGAGTGTCTAGGACTAGGCACTGTTAAATGGTTGTTATTTGGAACTGTCCAAAAAGACTTGGATCCTATAAAATCCCTTGTGTGCCATTTTGGTTCTAACCCAATCCTTGTAAATAAATGCATATTATCCAAGAGCATATATTTTTTGCTGTTGTGCCATACAGGATAAGTGTTGCTTATAATAGTTAAGATAATGTTTACAAATGTTATTCCTGAAATGGCACTACAATTATAATTACACAAGATTAAGTAAAAAAACCATTTGTATTCACGTTGCTATTATTACTTACAGTTTTGGAGTTGTTAATGGTGTGTTATAACAGCAACAGTTATGTAGCTGTTTGTTACAGTACCATCACATCCACATGATAATATTGAAAATATTGAAAAGGTATGTAGGAGGATTTTGTTCTCCCAGGTGGATTTTTTCAAGACTATTGGTCCTCCTTATTGTCAATCATTGTGGTGATACGTGCTTGTCAAATAAGACCAGAGTTTTGTTCAAAAAGTGGAGAATGTGGGAAAATCCTCCTTTATACTTTAAGAACATGGTGGTATTTTCTCTTTGAATTCATTGCAGTTCTTCAACTTTGAACCATCCAAAACTGCTCTATGACTGGAACAAAACTCAAACGCAAAAATGTAGACTTTATACAATACACTACATACAGTAATGACCCAATGAACTTCATTGATTTTTATGTGAATTAAATATTGTTTCATGCCTCTTGAGCTGCCTCCTCTTCATCACCTTGTTCTGTAATGAATTGACAGAAGGTACATTAGACTCAATAGGTCTCCGACACCAGCTCTGAGCCTCTCCAAAGCCTCCGTCTGGAGCACTCTCTCTAAGATACAAAACACTTCACCTTGGTGACCAGAAGTATCACCATTCTGCATTTGTTGACATGAATATTTTATGGACATTCTTCAGAAACTCAAAAGAGCCTCCACAAACATAGGAGGCAATAAAATGCAGATGAATCCGCTCCATTCATCAACAATTGCATATGAGCAATTTTCAGAGGCGAAAATGTGTTTTTTTTATCAGACAGGAAAGCGATCCGCGGAAATGTATGATTCTCCCAAATGAGGAATCGCTTTTTGTTTGTTTTCTGTAAATGACTGAAGCTCCGTCGGTTTGAGCAGCTGAGATGGAAGACTGGGACGTGGGGAGGGGGGGAGCGAGGGAGAATGCAAGAAGATGGGAAGGAAAAAAGAAAAAGGAGGTGCCGCTCATTCACACAAAACACAAGAGACACAAAGGAAAAAATGCAGGCGAAATTCTACTGGATTCAATCAGGCTTAATTCTATTTTGATAATTGTGGAGCCGCTTGTCTGTGGGTGCATCTCGGCGGGGAGTTGTGACTGACAATGAGACGCCGTAAGAACAGCTGCTGACTGCGGCCGCCTCCCGCACCTCCACGCACCAGCCTTGTCACTCACATCTCCCCTAATTAACGAACATCTGCTTTCCATTTCCCTTACACTGCACCGCCAGCTTGTCTCGTATGAATCGCCGACTTCTGACCTCCCCCAAGGATGCCACTGGCTGTCAGGAGTACCCGGCCAGCGACAAGGTTTGCCGGGAGAAGGCCAGAGCTGTGGGGAGGGACTCAAGTGTATAGGTTTATCCCCCGAGAGGTCCACTTCCAATGGGACGTCCCGATCAGAACTACGGCTCGAAAATCTCTGTGGAGAGTTATGGAGGATGAATGCCACTATAGGGAGTCTCATTCCCAACAGTGGCGACAAACAGGTGTGAAAGCTGTCCCCACGCAGGTGCTGCCAGGAGAACTAGACTTGTAGAGTTTCTTGTTTTGTTTTCCCAGTCTCAAAACACTGGGACATTAGGAACATAGCAGCTGTTCTGCAAGAGCGCACACTGCATTTGTGCAATTGAGCTTTACTTCTAACTAGCCTTAATAGAGGTTTTTATGTCTTTTTTATAAAACAGAAAATGTGATATGAGATAGAATAGTGTACCTGTTTCTCCAATCCGTGGTTTCACCAAGAGTTTACAAACTGACCAACCCAAATGTCATTTCATAGAAATCAACAGTTCGCACACTTTGAAGCCTTTTTTGGTGCTTGGGGTCTAATTTCAACCAATTGACCAGTTTTATAATAAAAATGCAGATAAAGGGAAAGTTGTTTGGTATTATTTCATAACTTTGCCAATCCTTAAAGCTGGGACACATATCTATCCTCACTGTCGGAACAATTTTTTTATATTGTGGCGACCCACATGTTATAGTGGTATAAATACACATGTTTACTCACACCCTTGAGGGGAACTTGGCTTAATGACGGCATTAGTGGGTTTACGTCCCGATGTCGTTCCCTCATACCTCCTGAGACCCTGCGACCTCATACGAGGACATTACATTTTTGCCTCTTGGCACAATGATACTCAATTTTTTACATCCTTGACCTGATGGCCACATTTAGGGACATTGCCCGCGCCATCTTGTGGTGATATGATAGAATTACACTTAAAGCGGTAGGAAAAAAATGGTGGGAATATCAACAAAAGACTTCTACAAGAGTTCACAGAAGAAAAATGCCCCAGGTAAAAATTCTATCAACATTTTATGAATGAAATCAATTTATTTATGCACAATAATGTCTCTAGCTTCATATGGAGTTTGAAATTTGAAAAATTTTGATTGTAGTAGCAGGCTAGGATGTCAGTAAAAGTGAAGCACTCGTTTGAGGACGCTAGGACTATGTACCGCTATCTGTTTAGCTAACTGTGTGGAAGATTTAGATGAAGTTACAGTTGTAAATAGTTATTTTGAATCACACATTTGCTTAGTTATGTGGTTTACAGTTGTAAATAGTATATTTAAGTACTAAGTGGTATATGCTAAGTATTGTGAAGTGTTGCTAAATGCTTAATCATAAACAATATAGCTAGGCTATAGCTAGCACATGATAGCCAAGCTATGATGTGTCACTGATATACTGTAGATTTTGATGTTGGTTTTTAAAATTATCATTACAGGCACACTTTCATTATCAAGAGCAGAACAATTGCTGTTGGCAATTGCAGACAACTCTGAGATAGAGGACTTCTCAGATGGGGATGATTGTATCATCAGCTCATAGCTGTCAGTCAGCTTCTGGTGTTTCCCACGGGGAGAGGCGGCGAGCCTGGCCATACTCATTGCCCCCCATCTCAGCCGCCACATGTTGGAGTTCTCCCCGGTGAATGAGAGGGTCGCGTCCCTCCGCCTCCGGGTGGGGGACAAGTCTCTCATTGTTGTGCCTACGGGCCTAACGGCAGTGCAGAGTACCCGGCCTTCTTGGAGTCCTTGGGAGGGGTACTGGACGGTGCACCGCCCGGGGACTCCGTTATTCTCCTGGGGGACTTCAACGCATGTGGGAAATGCCAGTGACACTTGGAGAGGGGTGATCGGGAAGAACGGCCCCCCTGATCTGAACCCAAGCAGAGTTCAGTTGTTGGACTTCTGTGCCAGTCACGGTTTGTCCATCACGAACACCATGTTCGAGCACAAGGGTGTCCATCAGTGCACATGGCACCAGGACACCCTAGGCCGGAGGTTGATGATCGACTTTGTTGTCGTATCATCTGACCTTCGACCGCGTGTCTCGGACACTCGGGTGAAGAGTGGGGCGGAGCTGTCAACCGATCATCACCTGGTCGTGAGTTGGATCCGCTGGCAGGGGAAGAAGCCGGTCAGACCTGGCAGGCCCAAGCGTGTAGTGAGGGTTTGCTGGGAACGTCTCGCTGAGCCCCCTGTCAGACGGACTTTCAACTCACACCTCCGGGAGAGCTTCTCCCAGGACCCAGAGGAGGGGGACGTTGAGTCCGAGTGGACCATGTTCTCTTCCTCTATTGCCAATAAAGCGGCTCGTAGCTGTGGTCGCAAGGTCTCTGGTGCTGGTCCCCGAACCCGGTGGTGGACACCGGCAGTAAGGGATGCTGTCAGGCTGAAGAAGGAGTCCTATCGAGCAATGATGGTTCGTGGGACTCCTGAGGCAGCTGTCCAGTACCGGCAGGCCAAGCGTGCCGCGGCCCGGGCTGTTGCAGAGGCAAAAACCCGGGACTGGGAGGAGTTTGGAAAGTCCATGGAGCATGACTATCGGTCGGCCTCAAAAAGGTTCTGGCAAACCCTCCGGCGCCTCAGGAGAGGGAAGCAGTTCTTTGCCAACACCGTGTATGGTGCGGGTGGAGAGCTGCTGACCTCGACTGGGGATATTGTAACCCTAACCCTAACCCGGAGATGGTAGCCTTGAAAACCCCCATGCGTTGCAGAGCACAAGACTGCATTGGAAAATCCTGTGTCCGATGCATGACATGCAATGTGTACCTGTGCTTGCAAAGTGAACGCAACTGCTTTGCAGCATTTCACACTTGCCAATAGGGCTCTTCCAAACAGGCAGACAGATTGCTTTCTAGAAAAAGAGAGGGAGCTAGTTTGAAAAAAGCCCCGGTTAAAAAGCTGTTCAGCAGAATTTTACTGTTTTAGGACTGTTAATAATATTTGCCATTATTTGTTCTAGTATTGTATTTATCAAATCAATTCAGCCATATTGAAGGCTTGAAATAGACAGTTTACACAGTATTTTGCAGTTTTATTTATGTATAGCCAATTTTTTGTCATGTGGATGAATGAAGAAAAAGGGAACCCAAATTGCAGGACTGAAAATCAAAGTAATTTAATAAAATAAATCCACGGTAATGTAAAAACAGAACTGAAGACAGGACAAACGTTGTGGAGACAATGGACGGACAACAAGAGAGGAAGGGCACAGGGTATATATACACACACAGGGACACACAGGTGAATCACATAAGGGCGGGGAAACAATCAACAGGACAGGCAGGATTCAAACTCAACCAGGTCAAAATGTCCACACCATGACATTTTTAGGCTTTGAAGATAGAGCTGTTTGGATTTTATGTCTAACTTTGATGTTTACATTTTTCAAATAAACTGTTATATACTATTTTAGACCAATGGAGTCTATTTGTATTGTATAGTAAGGTCGACCCACTGTACTTATATGAGGACATTGATTTTTGAGAGAAGTACTAATTGGATCAAGCTGAAATTTTGAATTTCAACTAATTAGGACCTTCCGGCCTCAAAGAGCATACATTTTTTTTTTAGGTTATGAGAGACCCACTGTCCTCATACGAGGACATGTTTTTTCTCAAAAACTACTTCCTGTACAAAATCACAATTTAGGTATTATACTTATTGGGTCCTACTTATCCTAAATAGCAGAAAAATATATAAAATGCACACCAGACAAATGCTCGGGTCTCAGGAGGATAAAGACCAGGACTCCCTAAACACACTCTCTCTCTTTTATTGGACACACACTAATATACTGTAGATGTTTGTGAATCTATTCTGTTCCATACATGTTACTGATGATAATAAATCAGGTTAAATAATCACTGTGTCCAACATTTCATCACCGCTACACTAGCAACATATTCCAGATGTTTTACAGGTGTTTTGGCCTCTTTCACATATTTAGAACAGCTTTTTCAGAAAGAAAACTGAAAAAGATGTGATCACCCTCATTCAGGCAATCAGCTTTCAATCCAGCGTTCACAACATTTTACTTTTGCAAGATCCTTTTGTTGGGGGATTGGGAAAACACAAAAGTAACCCCAGTTTTAAATTCCAGATTTCCAGTTTTCTTTTTGAATGTTACATCTATGAGAAAAAGGAATTGAATCCTTTAGTCACTGTAAACGATTCCAAATTTCTTCAAATTGCTTTATTCCTCCCAAATTAGAAGCATTACTGAACTTTTCCTTTAAATAAACACGGATAAATATTAGCCACTGATGGGCCGTAGCGTTGCTTGTTAGCTTGACTCTCAAAAAGTTATACCGGGGCCATACCTCCAAAAGTATGTCACTTTAGTTGAGACGTGTGAAAAGACATATGTTTACAGACTTTGTAATCCCAAGAGAAAGTTCCTGTCGATGTCAACGACATCTAACATACGGGCACACCATCATACACAATTTTTGTTACGATTCATGATGATCCATTTTCTTCCCCTTAATCCATTTCTGGGTCGGGAGGCTGGCAGCCAGAGCTGCACCCAGTACACTTAGCACCAGCCCCTCACTTATCCTCCTGCAGGTGGTGAGTCCACAGGAGCTGAGATCTTTCAGTGGGAGCTTCAGGCAAAGTGGGGTTAAGTGTCTTGCCCAAGGACACAACGACAGCAGTCATCAGTGGGAGTCGTGAAGTAGATCTTATGGTGGGCTTGAACCCACAACCTTCAGGCCCAAAGGCCAATGCTCTACCAACTGAGCTACTGTCGCCCCATATATATATATATATTTATATATAAATGTATATAAAAAATTATATATACATAATAATATATATATATATATATATATATATATATATATATATATATATATATATATATATATATATATATATATAAAAATTGTCCACTCACCTTTGGCCCTCCGCGGGCGGTTATCCCTCTCTAAGCTCGGGTCCTCTACCAGAGGCCAGGGAGCTTGAGGGTTCTGCGCAGTGTCTTTGCTGTTCCTAGCACTGCACATTTCTGGACCGAGATGTCCGAGGTTGTTCCGGGGATCCGCTGTAACCACTCATCTAGCTTCGGGGTCACTGCCCCGAGTGCACCGATCACCATGGGCACTACTGTCACCTTTACCCTCCAGGCCCTCTCCAGCTCCTCTCTGAGACCTTGGTATTTCTCAAGCTTTTCATGTTCTTTTTTCCGGATGTTAGCATCGCTTGGAATTGCCACGTCCACCACCACGGCTGTCCTCTGCCCTTTGTCTATATATATATATATATATATATATATATATATATATATATATATATATATATATATATATTTTTTTATTATTATTATTAATATGTTTTTGCAATTTCAGACGGCATTCTTGCTGAAATAGAGCCAATAATTGGCTCTGATTTACATTTGTTATGTGTACAGTCAAAAAACAATTCTTATGAAATAAATGTACATCTGTGGCTATTGTTCAATAAATATCTACATTTTAACCTTTATCTGACTGACAGTTGTTTTTATCACTAAAATTGCATGGACTGCAGTTTGTTTCATTGAAAGTAGCATATATCAAGCTACTTTTGACAGGATTTGGAACTACATTTTTATGGGTGGTAGTTTCTTTGTCGTGAAGCTGAATTTATTGTAGAGTAGCTTGTAGCTTAGCTCACTACACAAATCAAGTAGCTTGACCATCATTGATATTAGCTTTTCTGCTGTAAACTATTTCCATATTATTGTGATTCCCAACAAAGATATAGAGTTGTTAATGCACATATTTGCATTTCATTAGAACCACCAGAGCAGTAGTGGGCATCTCTTTATAGCCCAGGCTCGTCAGTTAAGTTTATTTACCACATTACGGATTCACAGGCAAACTTTTCTTTCCACAACATGTAGCTTAAACCTAAAAGACGATCAGAAAAGTTACATAAACAGTATTAAAGCAGTCTGTATGTGAAATGTCCGATACAAGCGGCTGCAGTGGTGCTGAGCTGAGTCCTGCTCCAAACCCCAGCTTCACTCCCTCCCTCCTCCTCACCTTCCTGTTCAGCTGTGAGTGAAATCTCTGCGGTTTAGGAAACAAAAGGCTAAACGATTACATTTAAAATAAATTAACAGATGGGCACAGGCTGGGGAGTAAAAAAATATGATTTCATACAAATGATTGCATTCTTTCTCCCCTTTGGTGTGAAAAGTAGATTCAAGAACACTTTTAAATAATTTGTTCAATTTGTTCCACAGCCAAAGAAATGCGGCTTGCTGGAAATTCAGATTCATTAAAACTTAATTAATATGCATCATTATGTAAATGAGGCTGCAGTTAATGAGTTCTTAAAAGAAGCCTTCCTTAATTAGTTCACTTTTAATGGCATCATCATTTATCTTTTTTCTTTGAAGCAGAATGACGGCGCCAGAGTAGCCTTTCCCCAAAAGTCCTCCAAATTTTACATTTTCTAATTATTCCCATTTCCTATATGATTAAGACTACATTAAGCCCACTGAGTAAATTGGACCTAAATCCCCATTCTGTTTTGGCAATATGGAAATAGGACGTCGCAGTAGTTGAAATTATGCACGGACTCTTTGTAAAGTTAATTTTTATTTATTAGTCCACAATGTCTCATCTGACATTACGCAACATCTGGGCTCCGTGCAAAGCCGCTGACACGAACATATGGGCCCGGCTCCGTCTCGCGGCTAACATCGCTATCGTCGCTAACGTCTCCAGTGAAGGTGAAGGCCACAGTTTCATGTTGTCACCAGCTTTACCTCCGCTCCTAATTGATAACCACTGGCATTTGATCTGAAGGCGTTCAAACGGCGTAGTCTATCTTTGTGCCTCCAATAACAGCAGCCATCTGTTGTTGCCCGCACTCGCCGTTCATTAAATCTCTCGACAGAAATCAGGTTTTAATTGTACAGTTGTTTTGAAGCGCAGTTGTACCGGTGGTGTGGAGAGTAATGGGTTTCTTAGTGAGATGGGAGGGCCGCGGCGAGGTTGGGAGAGATGGATGGATGGATGACTGATTTGCAAATGTGTTTTGGTGTTTTCACAGGGGATTAAAGATAGCGTATGGGCCTGTGAGAATTATTGGCAGGTGACAAAAAGATGCAATAACTTTGAATTACCTGTATGGACAAACATGCAAGTGTGCGGCGAGGGAACAGATTGTACAAGTCACCGGAGTACAAGACAACAGAACATTGGGTGACATTGATGCAGTGTTGGGAAAACCAATGTGCAGAGTTGCATTAACTAGTCCTATAAAGTTTTAATTGGAATGAGTTGTGATTCAACTGTAGAAACCTTAATACTGTTCAAACTTTTGTTTGATATGTGGCCTTTCACATGAAAAAACAATCTTGTTTTGCTGTTATTGTACAGTATAGTGCAATAAAGGATCATTTTAAAAACTAGTTTTTGTCAACGACCAAATATTTTGAAACCAGAAAATTACATTCAATCTTGATTTATATAAATCCAAGCTTTATAGGACACGTTAACTGGCGTAATGGCATTGAACTAAAGGTCTCAGGATTGACCCCTGGTGCACACCGCATGTCCAACATATATAACTATCTTAGATGTGACTCTTCACTTCTATCCCCAGCGCTAAAATGTTACTGTATTACAAGGAAATATTCCATGTTTCCATTGTAAAGGATAGTTATCGAACCCCAAGTAAATTATCATTGAGCAATATATATACACTTCCAAGAAAAAATACTGTAACAGGCCTACATATACACCTTCAGAAAAAAACATAGAGAAATAGAGAATACATGTATCCCCTTCTGTTCTTTTGAATAATTAATGATAAAAAAAAATGATTTCATCATTCTGAAACCCACAGATTGTGGAACATTCTCAATTGTTTTCAAGCTATCAAGTACCATATAGAAAATGTACCACTTTCTTCACACCAAGTCTCAAACAGGACTCTTTTCAGCAACACTATTTCAATTGTGTAGTCCTTCTGTTGGTCCATGTACCAACAGAAGGTACATGGACCACTGGATCACTCCCATTAAAGCAATGGACATTAAAAATAAATAAATAAAAACATAGAATAAAAAAAATAAAACAATGTATGTGAGTTACCCAGATCAGGCTCCTGTTCCCACTGATCTAGAAGTAATATAATGTTGTGTAGTGAGAGGCAGTGCTCATGTCATGAAGGCCAAACACCACCCACCACATTCTACAATCTGCCAGCACCTTGAACCAGCTCCAACAAACAGATATAAATACTAGTTACTCTTGGAGACCAGTCCTGTTTCTCCAGCCAACTTTACCCATGCTGTATTATCTTTTCTCTATGATAAACTGACTATTTTAATCCAGTTCCGGCTCAGCTGAGAATATCCTTACCTTTAAGAAAACAGTGTTGTTTACAACCAAAGGGTTTAGTAAGTATTTTAATCACCATCTGTGCAGGAGCATGTACCTGTCTTAACGAAAGGAGCAGTTGTGAAAATAGTGGTTTACTTCAATGTTCTTTTTGCATTTCATTCTAAATACGGAGGAAAGATGGCTTTTTCACAGTCACATTAGTTAACAGTGTGCTACATTCAGATTAGTACATTATCTATGCCTTTTTAAGAAGAACATATTTGTGATACTTGGTAAGATGCACATATTTTGTAAAGTTTAAAGCTGTAAATAACAATACTGAGTGAAGTGTGTCCCTTTAAAATGAAATTCATAGTGTTTCGTTGCTCAAAACTTTAACCTACTTTGTCTTCTGAGGCTGTCATTGGTCAGCCCTATTTAACTTCTCCCCTGGGGTCGAGTCAGACCCGACAGACATCTGGCTCATGGTTCATCAGATATTATAATAACATATATTTTGTCCTGGATTGAGCTTGGGTTTAACATTGACTTTGACAATAAATACTTAAATTGTCTTTTTAAAAACGTGAAAACACATCTTGATTGAATGTTAATTTTGTTAAAATGGAAGTCTAGATGTAAATGTCTATGTAGCCCAGAGCTATAAGGGAAAACTCATCTCTCAGAAGAAAAAAAATATACAAATTTTTGGTGAGATGGCCACCACCAGCTTTTGTTCTACTCTCACTCGAGTGTTCTTCTCATTCAGACTGAAAAGAAGGAAATATAATTCCTTCTTATAACAGTATTATTAAGTATGTTTCCATATGGCATTATCTGTTTTGCATTGACTCAAATGTAGGTGTTTTTGAGAAAAAAAGAAAAGCTTGTTTTGGCTCACACTCCAAGGTCACCAGCTTTATAACCAGAATATATTATCATCCAATTAAAAAGCAAATATTGAAATTCGTACCACAAATAAATACATTTGATACAACAAGTGCGTGTGACATGATGCAGGTTTTACAAATGTGTTCTAGTTTTGCCCCATCTGGAACGTGCACAGGTTTTTGGACCTAAAACATCTGTCTGCTTTTCAAATGTTTGGTGTAATGGCTAACACTCACCAAAATGTTCCACTTTTGCCAGGTATAAATCTTGTTTAGAGCAGGCCCAAGGAACTTTGTGTTTTGGGGAGCAATTAAGGTAAAGCCAAGATGTTATTTTGGAAACATTTGGATTAAAATTTAAATATTAACTGCTTTTTCATGAAGGCATTGAAATGTAGCCCCGGGTTTTGTGTCTAAACCAAAATAGTGAATTGTAGATAGTTCGAGTGGGTCTTACAGCGTCTGGCAAGGTTAATCTTTGCTAAAATGAAACTCACATGTCCCCGGTCTGCAGCGGTCATTATAAACGTCCATTTATTGCCAGATTCAAATCAATACAGATGTTTTCTTTGAGCGAAAGTTGTTCATAATAACCACTGAAGACAGGAGCGACCACAGCGCAAAGGCATAAGCAGGATTTATGGGATGAAAAGTGAAAAAAAAAAACTTTAAAAACACATTTAGGTTGCTTTGTGTTTGTTTGTTATCTTCTTAATAATATACATGACTTTTTGTATTTTGGTGGTAGCATTCATGCCTTAGCAAGACTATAGCAGATTACATGTCTGGATGAATATATAATTATTGCATTTGGGGAGATAACTAATTTTGATTACCTTATGTGGGTCTTGCACAATGCCTCCCAAACAAGCCGGAATTTGTTATACAATTTTTTGTTTGAAGCAGAGCATTTTATTGTTCCGTATTTAAAGATCACCCTACCTACACAGTCAGGATTCATTTATTCATGTATTTATTTTCATTTAGATATTCAGATAGATTCAAATATGTTTAATTTGACAGCATCAGTTTTAGAATTCACTTGTGTGTGTTACCTTTCAAATGAGGCATCATAACACAACATCAGACACAAGTCCACACAATAAGCATCTCCATTTGGGTATCATAATTCGAGAAGGAACAGGCGAAATTAGGTGATCCTTAAAGAGTTAAAAGAGTTTATAATGTATAATCGAGTATGGACGATATACAATTTTCAGTGATGGCACCATGTATCACTGCAAGATAAAGGCAATGATTGTAACTCCAGCTACTGTACAAGGGGTCAGCATAGAAATATATGAACAGGAATTACTTCACGGTTACAGTTGGAAAGTACATTTGACCCATGCCACTGGGGAAAATATACTGAAGAGTAATGGAAGGATATCTGATGGTAACTCCAGCCACACGAGGTCAGGAGAAAAGGGGGTTTGATTATTCTCTCATGATATAAGGTGGAAAGCCTGAGCAGCACGGTGGCTGAGTGGATAGCACTCTCGCCTCTCAGCAAGAAGGTCCTGGGTTCGAATCCCGGTCGGACCAGGGCCTTTCTGAGTGGAGTTTGCATGTTCTCCCCGTGTCTGCGTAGGTTTCCTCCGGGTACTCTGGTTTCCCCTACCGCTAAAATATGTAAAATAGTTCTGGCATGCGCCTCCTGTACTGGCAACCCCGCTCCCATCTCTGTGTGGAGTGAGAGACAAGTGCCCAAAAAAAATAACAATTGTAAACCGCTTTGAGACTCAGCTCTGCAGTGAAAAGGCAGTATATAAATAATTACTTAGATAGACTTAGAAATTACTTAGAATCTGGTCCACCATCCACAAGTGGAAGTAAGAGCCATGTTGCAGAACGATTGATTTGGTGGACCACTTTTTCTTAATTTCTTTGCCTGATAAAAATAACATCTGTTTTAAGGTGTAGAGAAAAAGACAGAGCAAGAAAACAAAAAATATAGCAAGGTATGAGTTAGATGCATACATTTTGTTTGTTGGCCTGAAAACTGAGGCAGCTTTAATGGACAAACAGCTCTGTACAAGCATTTGCATTTCAACATTACCACTATTTTCCTGTTTTTCTCACGTCTCTTAGATGGCCTAAATGCAACATAAAAAAGATAAGACATTCCCTTTAATTGTTTTTGGCAGTGGTTGCACACATTTGTCTCCACATTTGTAATCTCATTATGCTCTGAATAGACCCGCACAAAGAACCACTCCAGTCGTCAAATAGTCTGTTTATGCGTGCGCCGGATAAATCAAACGCGATGCGGACAACGGCGACAAGCCTGCAGCGTGAGGGCCGCGAGTGACAACCGACGGCGTCCCAACAAGCGTGGTTACATCTGTGGCATTAGAATATTAGCAAAGATGTCAGTTTGGTGACACAGTGCCCTGGAGAGACAGCAGAAGTAGCAAGGGTGGAAGTGCAGACTTTCCTGTGCAGCATCAGGCTTTGTTGCAGTAATGAAAAAGGCCGGCGAGAAAAAAAAAAAAAAAAAAAAAAAAACGAGGAGGGGGAGAAAAACGCCCCGGGACAGGAGACGAGAGAAGAGTGGATGTGATTGCGACAGTTAAACAGATGTGATGTCCAAAATGGAGTCTGTCCGTTTAACGATGCCCACTCGCATTAGAGCGCTGAGAGCTGGATCTGTTGTGTTGGTTCGTTTTGTCGACCGGAGAAAAAAAGGAGGGGTGCTCGGAGTGTTGTGCAAGAAGTAAGAGTGATAAGGGCTATTCAAAGGTCCGGTGGTTAAAGCTCTGGGATGGGTGAGTTATTTCTGTGAGTTTGAGTAGTTTGAAATAATAATAATAGCAATCAATTAATCACAGTGTTTCTTTCAAAACAGGTACAAACTCGACTTCAAAGAACAACACATCACACGCATACATGTTATACACCTCCAAACCCCCCTCACATGGTCAAAAACTACAGAAATGTGGACCAAAATCATGAAAGCAAGTCACTAAACTAGACATACACTTTTCACAGTGGATGTAAAAGCATTTCAAACTGTTAAATAATTAAATAAAAACATGGGGGCCAAATGCTCACACTCAGAGAGCAGCCGTCCTCCTGTGGACTCACCACCTGCAGAGGGTCAGTGAGGGGCTGGTGCTATGAGACTTGGGTGGCATCTCTGACTGCCACCCCCCTGACCCAGAAATGGATTAAAGGGTAGAAAATGGATGGATGGATGGGGGCCAAATGTAGCTTGGTCATACGTATCTCCAAAAGCCAAATCCACTCCTGTCAGCCTCCTGTTTGCTCACTTCTCAGCTGAAGTACTCCACTAACTTGACTTGTGCATAAGTGAAGTGCCTGTTTGCTAAGCAGTTGGCTGGGGCATGTTGCGGGCTGTATTCGGAGCAGCCGAGCGGACCGTGCCCCCCAACGTTCAGCTCTTGATGAGGAGGAAACCCTGCTATGCTCCTCATCATCACCCCTGCGTCTGTGCCAAGCTGCTCTCGGCCCGGCGCTGGTGGCTACGCTGCTCTGGAGGAGGCGGGACCAGTGATTGACAGGATTAGACGAGAGAGAGAGAGAGAAAGAGGAGGGAATGATCTTTATCTGATGGAGGGAAAGTGAAGTTGGAGCCAGCGATCGCCTTGGAACGGAAGAGGAAAAGTGCTCAGGGGAGAGAAGAGGCTCCCCACGACGGACATCGTTCAAAACATTGCATAGAAAAGGCTTCCAAATATGCGCAGTTAAACATAAACAGAAGATATACACGTCTCCAGGGATAATATATGTTTGGGTGTTCAAAGCAACGTAAACATTTTAACATTTTAATTCAAGTAAAGAGGAAACACGATATAGGTCATGAGACTACCTGGTGTAACAGTTAAAAAGCAAAAGTTTCTAGCATGTTGCAGAAGTTTGACATACATTTAAAACTTAAATGCAATTCAATCTTACCTGCGTAAAAGTTAATAATTTTGAGCAAAAAACCTGTGTCTGTACCTAATCCTCCTCACAGCGGTCAATTATAAAGCAATAAACTGAAACTCTCTTTAAACCTGTCGCTCACATTTGGGTCAATTTTCTTGGTGGCTGGTTTGTTGTGAATAGGTTGTTAAATTACGGTACCAGATACAAAAGTGAAATAGAACACAATCAGGTAGAGTGGAGCCGAATAGAGCAGAAGAAATAGGGGTTTATTTTTAAAGTCAGAAAAGTGTTTTGTCCCTTTAATTTTTTAATGTCTTCTGTCTTCTCTGTGGTGAAAAGCTAACATAACAGCAGCCTTTCCTACTGTTGTCGCAGGTTCTCATTACCAACACTAAAACAAGGGGGAATGCCTCTAATTACAGATGTGTTGTAAGAAAAAAAAAGTGATGAAGCACAATGTTCTGGATTTATTATTATCTCGAATCTTGAATATGGGCAATTAATGTGTTTTAATAATACCATAATTGTGCATCAGTTTTATGTAGCCTTTTTCAGGACACTCAAAGACATTTCACATGTGATTCTTCTTTCACTTCATTCACGGTGTGGATAAACTGTACTACTATAGCCACAGCTGCCCTGGGGCACATTGATAGAACCAACCATTCACACACACACCAGACTCATTCAAGGCAATGTGGGTGAAGTTTCTTGCCTAAGGACACAATGACAGTTTGGCACTTTACGGCCCCTTGTGGCACCTGAAGTTCCCAGAGGTCTCCCATCACAGCACTAACCAGGCCCTGCCCTGCACAGCTCCAGACGGAATCTGGTTTTCGCATGCAAGTAAGGCCACTGCACTATAGTTTTGATAATTATTTAAGTCAGACTGAACATGTCTCTGGCACACAAGAAGTTCCGTTGCAAAGATATACAACATAAAATCAAGTTGTAAAACATGCTAAATTCACTACAGCTCCAACAGTCATCAAACCTGGTCTTTTCCCTCCTCTCATATAACATTCGGCATCAACAAAGCAATTTGTTTCCCCCGCGTGTGCTAATTTCTGGATTTCACAGCGCCAGGTGTTACGGCTGCCAGTCATTACAGGAAATCAGCAGAACCTTCACCGCGCCGCTTATCCCCAAAACTGGAGAAAAGAGAAACGAGATGAATCCTGTCTGATTTCAGAGACAGAGGCGGGGGGTCGGGAAGTTTCTAAAGTGGTGCAAGAGACAGAGGAAAATACGCACACTCAATGGTTCAGGTTACACAGGTGGAAAATGATATTGTATAAGTATATGTTCTGGCAATTATATATATATTTGTTTAAATCACAAATCCTTTACCTGTTGTTTTTATCACCCCTTGTCAACAACTACTGTTATTACTAGAGTTACTTCGACTGCTGCTATTTATACCACTATTGCAAAAAAGTATGACATAATACATTTACGACGAGCTGCTTGTCTGTACCATCCGCCCCTCAGATTACCACTATCCATCACACATCCCATCTTCTGTGAGGACACAACAACAGTCTGGTGTGTGATTGGTCGGCGGTGGTCGGAGCGGCCAATGGTATGGTTGCCTCGTTTCTGTCAGTGTGTCTCAGGGCAGCTGTGGCTAGAGTGGTAGTTTTTCACCACTGCGAATGAGGTGAATGTGTAATGACATGTGAAGCGTCTTTGAGTGTTCGAAAAAGCATTATATAAAACCAATGCATTATTATTATTAACAGTGAGGCACCTGAGAGTTCACTGTGGCACCTGCTGTTCCCAGAAGTCTCCCATCATACAGTCCTAGCCAGGCACTGTACTGCTTAACTTCTGAAATTAAGTTTTCTGAAAGAGTTTTACATGTTTGTATGGCTACTACTAGTTTGATTGCTACTTTTTCTCCCCCAAAAGAAACCGTCAACAATTAACCCATAAGGAGGTATTTCATATTTTTGGCTTATATTAATTAACTCCCCCCTCTCTCCCTGGTGTGGTCCATACATTTTTTTTTCTGGCATTGAGACAAAAGTAAACTCGACATTAAAAATAAATGGTGTGTAAACAAGCACGGCGCCCCCAAAATCATTTCTGTTTAATTTCCTAATCCTTGTCCTCTGCTTTGATCCATTCTTGTGCAAAAGCGCCTCTTAAAATAACAACAATAACAGCCTAATTATATCCAATGTAAATATTGTCTTTCCCTCTGAAGTTTAGCCGCGATTTATTAATATTTAATCGACTGTTTTCCAGCACATAATGAAATGTTTTGGCTTTTCGCTCATGCTCTTAAGTATAAAATAAAATAAAATAAATCTATGTATTATATTTGGAGTTATAACATAGTCTTAATTATGTATATGTATGTTGTGCTAATTGGATCAATCAACCAGGCTGTTGACAAGACGACTTCCTGCTTCCTGACATATTTAGATTATTATTTATTCATTCTTTAAGCATTTCTAATCAACACTTCTGGTTTCTCCCACTTTAAAAATTGCCTTGTTTTCAAGCATAATTATTCCAGACGATAACAATATTGTTTTTTTTCTTCCGTAATAATTTTATTCATTCAACTCATTATTCACCGAAAGATAAATTCCATCTGCAAACAAAGTCATTTATTTTAGGGAATATCCACACTTGATAAATTATTTAAGAACGCAGGGGTTTGCGTATGTGATGTGACGCGGAGGATATATGCAGGCGAGTTGCGTTCAAGCTCGTCTGATGTTAAAAAAAGGCGATGGAAACAAAAAAGAAATGCAGGGAATAATTGGCGTCCTCCGAAAAGCGCGTCTCTCGTGGTGTTTTTGAAGTCTGGCTTTTTTTGCTCTTGTTTACAACGGGTTAATGGAGGAGCTGCCCGGATTGGTAGTAATGGATAGAATAAACCTTTGCACTCAGATTCATGCAGGTGTTGGTATAGGCAGAGGTAGAGGAGAAGGAGGAGTAGGAGGAGGAGGAAGAGGAGACAATGAGGAGGCTCAAGCTGAGGTAAGTAACAAGTAAGTAAGTAATCGTTATCTATACAGCACGTTTTTACATACCCAGGTCACCAACACTGACTCCAACACCATCCATTCACTCACTTGTTACATTCAGACCTATTGTGCATGTTTTTAGTGGTAGCGTAAACCAGAGCACCCGGAGGAAACCTATGTAGACACAGGGAGAACATGCAAACTCCACTCAGAAAGGCCCTGTTCCGACCGGGATTCAAACCCAAGAAAAGCGAGAATGCTATTCACTCAATGCCACCATGCCGTCCAGAGGTAGGGTATAGGGTATATTATTATATCGATTTTTTACTAACTTTTACATCTTTCATAACTTGTTTGCAACAAGAGCCAAAGCAGTGTCTGAGTTTGTGACTTCCTGTTACTCACCATGGCAATAAAAAGAACAGATTCTAAAACGAGGGGAAAGACTGTGAAATCAGTGAAGAGGTATCATCCAAAATGTATTCACCATGATTTCATCCTATATTTCAATTATTTCAATTGCACAATGGGATTTCAGAATCTCCTTTTCAGAGGAGTCCTAGCCCCAGAGGGAGGAGCCTATTGTAGCTACATATTTTAAGTCGTATAGGAGAATGCAGAGCATATGTTGGAGGCCTACTCAGGCACGGAGAGAATTTGCAAACTCAAGACCTACTTGCTAAGAAGCCAGAGCTCTAACCACTCGGCCCAATCATGACTTGTTTTTACTGTAGCTTCGTCCACGCTAATATCAGATACTTTTGCAGCTCAACTCGTTGCTGGTTTTGGATATTTATCTGGTGAAATTAGATGCATCTTCGACCGTGTTACAGTATTGGAAGAAGATAATATTTGATGTAAAAAAAAAAAAATAATCCACACTGCCATCTAGTGGTAGAAGTGTAAATGTACATGATGAGTACGTTTTTGTCCTTTCATACATTTTTATTCATATATTTTCTACTTACAAAACTATGTGACATTCTTAAACATGAAATAACCACATTAAATAGTGTCATTATCATGCCTAACGCTTCTTGTTTAATCAATCAGCTTGTGTTATGCACTATTGATTTGTAGATTAAGGACTTACAGACTGTGTTGTGTGGGCACCTCAAGTCCTGACTGTGCGCAGAGAGGAGGATCCTATTATCAGTCATTGGAGAAAAAAGTTTGGGAACCACTCGTCCAGACCAATAAGACAAAACTTTGCAAATCCTCGAACAGGGGAGGATGTGTGAGAATAATTGAATGTGAAAAAGTGCATTCTTCCATAGGTGAATATAATATGATAAATGTCCACTAAGATCGCAACATCTGCTGCTTCTGTTGCTGTATCACTTTGCAAATTTAATTATTTCTTTTATGCACAATTAATTCTTGCTAATGAAAATCGATACTTATCCTAAACACTTTTTGAGGGATTGCACCTAATGGAGAAAAGATGTGGCATTCTTCACTGTTTGATAAACTTTGAACAGACTTTTATAAAGTCAAACTCCTTCATAAAGAAGACACACTGTGCTTTGCTTTAAATGTATATATTATTCATATGTATAAAAACAGTAATACACGTATGCAAAATAGCAACATATGAGCGTCAATATAAATATTTTCTCTAAGAAAGCGTTGACTAACTTTTTAAAGCA